CGGTCTTTACTGGTGATGATATCTTTTAGTTGTGAGCATTCTTCTCGTACGTCTTTTAGTTAAACATTGTTAAGAAACATCAACCATGACAGACGGACGTTGGCGCCCATATTTTTGGTTTTTACATGACGCCTCAACGGTCATAATGATGTGCACAAAACAGAATATTTCTCGTTAGTTTCAATTGTTATGTACACCGAAATGGTTGCCATATTACTTGTTATTCCTTTTTTCAAGAAGTGTTTGGTCATGTGACTAAAAACTAAGTACTGATGTTGGCCAAACAATGGTTGCCATCTGAATCGTGTCAAAAAGACTTATAAACGCAGTAAAACGTACAACATCTAAGCAAAAACGCCCAACTTTAATGTATCGTTTACAGTGTTCTGACCAGGCCGCGCCATTGCGGGATTCACGCAAAAAAATGAAATGGCCCATAAAAAAATTGAACTTAATGCGCCTTTAATGGCGCAAGAATAATCTAGAAATACTTCCTGATTGATTGCAAAGACATAGAGTACTTTTTAAAGTAATAAAAGTCTAATAACATTGTCAATAAACATGGTGAGAGTGTACACTAAAGTCACAAAAAATGACACAAACGCGAACATGGCCGCCATATTGGATTTCTCTTGCTGAAGAGATCTGGCACTAATCAGTGTGTTAACTGATCTTGGTCCATGAAGGCTCAAGTATGGCTTCTCAACCAACTGAATGACCCCTAATTTTTGAGCTGATGGGCCCTTTGACCCCCTGAAAAACAATCCTGGTCAGAACACTGCATTTAGCAAAATGGTAGAAACTACATGTAGTTGCTGTAAACTAGTATGATTGAGCTGCGTCGGTGTCTCTAACAGTTCTGTCAAATAATATAAATTTTGATACCTTTAAAAAGTAAATGAAAAAACTTACTGACGTTTCGGACATGGAAGATTAACGTCCCAAACTTCATACAGTTATTTCGTCTACTTTTTTTCAACTGATTGCACAACTGGTTGAACTGTATCTTTTAGAAGTTTAGGAATGCGTTTTTGCAGCTAGGTATTTGGAATTTCGATGAGCTACAAACAGCACGGACAATTCAATCAAGGATATAGTTTTTAATGTATTCTGATGTTCTTCTGTTGTGGGTACTTCGGATAAATAACGTTCTAAGCCATCAATTCTATGTC